TTTAAAAACAATTTTTTTTGGAGAGATGGGGCCTCACCATGTTGGCCATGGCTGATCTCAAACTCCTGAGCTCAAGCCATCCTCCCAGCTTGGCCCCCAAAGTGTTGGGATTACAGGAATGAGCCACCGTGCACAGTCAAAGATCAAAAACCCCAAGTTTAAATATTGATAATCAATAGAAAATTTCACAAAACCGTGTAGGGCAAACAAAACACAAATGTTACTCCTTAGGGCTTTATTTCCCCACTTATTTGACTACCTGTTGGGCAGTTTATAAAGTACTTATTAGTGGTGTTAGTTCACACTTATTGAGGGCTTACAATGTGCCACAGACACTCTTCTAAGTAGTTTACATCTTCTCTTCCTTTAATCTTCAGAATAACACTATCAACAAAGTGCTATTATTAAACCTGCTTTATAGATGAGCAAACTGAGGCTGAGAACTTGAGTTCAGTCATCCCTTAGTATCTGTGAGGGATTGGTACCTCAGTCCCCATGGATACCAGAATTCTCGATGCTCAAGTCCCTTATATAAAATCAAAACTACCTTGGTAAAAAGCATAACTGAGAAAATTCTGATAGTGAAAGAGATCTGGCCTGACTCCATCTTGCTTCTAACTTCCAAGCTGTCCTTGATCATTCCTGGGCATAGGTTGAATTAATGTTGGAAAGAACTTAGTTCATAGTTTAACTTTGAAACAAAGGCAATAATAGTCCTTTCCCAAAACAAATCCCCTTCTTGCCTAGGGACGGGTCTGCCTTTGTAGACTAACAAATTAGCTAAAAGATCAGAAATTATGGTTTAGAAGGTCACGCAAGCTGGAGGCTGCAAGATTCTGACTCACCCCAAATCGCTTCTGGGAGTAACATCACTGTTCTAAAACCTAAAATCAGTGCTTGAGATATTTTGCAGAACCTGTGTTCTAACGCATCAGCTGACACCACCCAGCCCTGTAATCTGGCTTACCTGGTACTTTGGCCCTAACCCAGGAACTGACTCAGTGCAAGAGGACAGCTTTGACTCCTTTCCTCTCTAATCCGACCAATCAACACTCCCTAATCTCCAGTCCCCTACCCACCAAATTATCCTCGAAAACCCTGAATTTCCGGGGAGACTGATTTGAGTAATAATAAAACTGTGATCTCCTGTTCAGCCAGTTCTGTGTGAATTAAACTTTCTCTATTGCAATTCTCCTGTCTTGATAAATTGCTTCTGTCTAGGCAGCAGGCAAGGAGAACCCACTGGGCGCATACAAAATGGCAGAATATTTGCATATAACCTACGCAAATCCTCCAGTATATTGAAAGTCATCTTTAAATTACTTATACTACTTAATACAATGTAAATGCTATATAAGTAGTTGCTATGCTGTATTGCTTTCAGAATTTGTATTATTTTTATTTTTGTATTGTTATTTTTATTGTTTTTCCTCCACAAATATTATCCATCCATAGATGGGGAACCTATAAACAGGGACGGCTTACTATACTTTGTCCTGTGTCTCGGAGATACTGAGTTTAAGGCCCAGGATTCTATGTTGACCATCCAGCTCCAAAGCTCAAGGTTTTAATCACCACACACTACTGCTTTCCCACTTAGCAGATGAAACTGAAGCCCAGAGAGGTTAAGAAGTTGTCCAACATCAGGCCGGGCGCGGTGGCTCACGCCTGTAATCCCAGCACTTTGGGAAGCCGAGGCGGGCGGATCACGAGGTCAGGAGATGGAGACCATTCTGGCTAACACGGTGAAACCCC